TTTTTCCTTCAATATATTAGTAATGTGGCACAATAGTTATTTTGATAGATATCAACAAAAGAAAGTAGGTTTTAGTCAATCGATAAACTAATCAACCATTAAATTGTTGCACATACAGTTTTTGCTTTCTAAGTTTTACCAGGTATATCTTCATTAACCTCGGTAACGCAAATAAAAACCAGGAATCGGATTATCATATGGTCCATAAGATTCGAAACGTTTAAGGGCTTCTAGGCGAGTAAGGTACTCAATATTCAGATTTAATTTAATTCTTGTTAAAGCTTCCTCTGTTTTTCATTCAACTCTTTTATCACTGAATTGAAAAACAAACGAAACTTACTTTTATCAGAATTATTATTATTGTTTTCATTCATTTTAAGATAAAAATTTTATGTCTTTGGTATAATTTATAAATAATTAATTCATTAGATGAACATTGAGATCCTCATCTAAGGATGCATGGTAGGTGATACGAAGATTTTGAACTTTTTTTGGGCTTAAAATATTCTAATGGGTCAGATATGACCATTTGTCAAGCCTTTCGTTTCGGAAATTCTCAGTTTCAAAGTTACAGGGTGTCAAAGTTTCAACTTTTGCATAGTTTAACACTATTGAAAGCAATATGGGTTTGTTAAAAAACATATTTTACCATTTTATCATAGATCGACATTACTGGCATTAAGTATATTAACTTACGTAAAAACAAACTTTGACACCCTGTAACTTTGAAACTGAGAATTTCCGAAACATTTCATTTGCGATACCGAATCTCTTCAAAAAAGTACTCGTACCCATTAATGTAAATTTTCACAATAAAATTTCTGATTCAATGCCAAACTCTCGGACTGGTGGAATGACTCATGGAATTGGTGGATAATCAGCACGTCCTTTTCACACTTTGAGTGAATCTGCTCTTCCAATATCATCAGAATCCATTTTTAAAATCAGACCCGACCAGAAATGAGGGAGCATTTACTGATAAAAATAGCCAAATAGTCAAATGTTTTTGAAATTTTCATCTTTTAATGCAAAAAGTTGATATAAGTCAGTTTATTTGATTGATAATGAAAAAGCATTCTTAATCAACTTCGATAACGCAAGTAATAATCACGTAACCGAAAATAATCTAGATACTAAGTTTTACCAGGTGTATATCTTTATTAACCTCGGTAACGCAAATAGTAATCAGGGAACGGATATTTAATTGGTCCATGAGATTCGTAAAATCGAAGGCAGTCTAGGCGAGTAAGGTGTTCAATATTCAGATTTAATTTAATTCTTGTTAAAGTTTCCTGTGTTTGTCCTTCAACTCTTGCATCCAGAAGTGTCTGCAAGTGCTCGGATTTAATGAGCTTTGAAAATTTCTGCGTGAAGAAACGACTACCCCTGTGCTGACAATAATAGAAGTTGCAACCATTTTCATTGACCAGATCACGATGAGTCAGCATGTAGGCACAGATAATACTAGGATCAGTAGGAGCGTATTTTTGGTCGATGAATATATTTGTTTTGAAAAAATAACAAGCGCCATCCTGAATATACTCCATTGCATCCTCTTTTTCATCCGGAAGCATGAAACCCAGTCCTTCTCTAAAGAATTAATTAGAGAGTATTTAAATTTTAAAAAAGGTCAAAAAAGTTGAATAAAATTCATAAATAAATCATTTACTCATCACCGAATTCAGGGTTGCCCAAATCGACATCTGTTCCTGCATCACCTACTGCAACATACGCTTGATATTTGACTGGTATGCCTGTGAATGCTGATAACTATAAATGCAAGCAAAATATTAATAAGAAATTATTCATTTCATTGTCTTTTCTTCTGACTTACCTGATGCATTACTTGTTTCCTGTAATCAAAACTTTCATTTGACCAATCAATTGTAATATCATGATAATCCTCATCCGAGTGTCTCACTTTTATTGTAACTAAACATAAAGAATCATTTATCTTAAAACTGAATTGAAAAACAAACGAAACTTACTTTTATCAGAATTATTATTATTGTTTTCATTCATTTTAAGATAAAAATTTTATGTCTTTGGTATAATTTATAAATAATTAATTCATTAGATGAACATTGAGATCCTCATCTAAGCACAAAAAATGGATGACCCAAAAGTAGATCACTTGTTGCCTTTGAAGAGACTCTTTGCTCTTTGTTCATTAATGTTGCTCAAAACCAGTTTTCAAGAAGCTTCGCCGCAGTTTGATAGTTATGAATGTTGGTTGGTACTAAAAACTTTTTAGTAAAAAGCCATATTAACCATAATAACAATACTCCAACCATAATAGCCATAATAACCATAATCGGGTTTCAGCGCTCCCTATGTGTTTAATTTTCATGAAAATTACTAAAGGAGGTTTTTACAAAATTGGGAGGCGGTGGGAGGCAGTTGGGTCATCATTAATTAATTCATTAATTGATGAATCTCGAACCAAAAGTATTGGAAAAATTCATTTTTTCTATGAGCTATGACTGAATTTATAATATCAGGCTTTTTTGTACAAATTCAAATGGCGAGCTCACTTCAACATGTTGATTTGAACAGAACTTGTTAAGTTAAGATTTTTTTATTAGTAATCATTTTACCATATTTTACTAGTAGACCTTGATCTTTGAAAAATAGAGTTATGGATGAGCTTCAGGTTTACATGGTCTGAATCATGAATACCGCATGGTGGAAGCGAAATATAATGCTGGAATCGGGTCTAATCAATCTTCAATGGTACTAAAAGGCCTGATAAATTCAGTCAAATCGTCATAGCTCATAGAAAAAAATGAATTTTTCCAATACTTTTGGTTCGAGATCATCAGTAA